AAAGCCAAATAATATAAAAAGGTACACAGCGAGATGTCTCCTCCTACCTCTACCCTGACTTGCTGACCCACTGCATCCTCCCACCCCCATCCCCAGGCAGGTAAAGGAACGATGAATCCTTACAGCTTCTCATTTACATGCAGGCAAATTTATAAGCAACCCTCCCATTATAGACAGTGGTATATTGTTCCGCACTTCGCTTTTAATCACTAAATATATCCTGGCAATCTTTTCATATACTTGAAAGGGTTCCTGGTCATTTTTACAGCTGCATAGTGTCCATTGTGTGTGTGTGTAACAATGTTGCCACCAATGCCCTTGTACATACTACCTGTGTAAGCATTGCCGCGTTAAGGAGTTGTAGGATCCTGAGCATTCTGTGTGTTTAAACACTACTCCCTCCTGAGAAGTGCTGCTACAGGTGGCCCATAGCACTTTGATTTTAAGGCAATGCCACACAATATTTAAAGATGTTTTTCCTTGTTTCATTTAAAAGGCCACAGGGAGAGTCTCTTGTTCCCTGCTGCTATGGGGGTAGAGGACTGTTTCTTAAGAAAATACAATTTAAAACATTTTTATTTTCCCTAATGTTATTTCAGGATGCTCTATTTTAGGTAAGACCACTGTGAGTCCCTTCCACTGAAAATGGGGAAGCTGTTCTGCACCCCTTACAAGGGGATCTGGAACCAAAGCCCTTTGGGCTAGTCTTTTTCTCCTCTATCACCTGAACTTGCTCATCTGTTAAGGTCGATCCATACAACTCTGTTAAAGAACATTTCTGCTTCACTTCGCCCTGTGGAGAAACAATTCTCCAATTCTGACACGCGGACATTCACCTAACTGGCTGAGCTGACACGCAGTGAGCCCCATGGTGCTGAGGCCCTGGTATCCATGGCAACCTTCCAGGCTTGTGGGTGCCAAAAGCCTCCACGGCTGAACTGGAAGCAAAGCTAGGACTGGCAGGCTGGCATCTCTGTCTCTCCTGACATACTTCACCATTTCTCAGAGGATGGGACTGCCACGGTTGGGGAGAGCCAGAGAGGCCAAAATCTGAGGAGGACTGCAAACCACTGCCGTCCTTGAACAAAGGCGCACGACCTTGAGAGCACTATGACCAGGGCTTGAGATGTACATGAAACAGTGCGGAGAGATGCGTCCTTATGCCTGCGCTGGCACTGCCACAGGAGGGGCAGCCGAGCAGCCAGAACCCAGGCTTTCTTCATCTTCACTAAGTTACCCAGGCACCCCAAGGAACCAAGAACTGGAAGTAGGAAGGTCCAGAAGCATTAACACAACTGTGTAACATTATAGTTACTTGCCTAATACGATTTGTCCTGCTAACCCTCAGCCCTCAGCACAGAAGGCACCTTGCACAGGCACACAATGAGTGCTGCAGTGTCGCACCTGAAATGGTCTCCTCCATCCTCACCCCATGCTGTCTCTGAAGCATCTGGATGGAGTCCTTCCTAAAACACTCCTCCCCTGGACTGCTGAGACTCCCTTGGCCCTGCCTTCCTCCCTGGTGCTGCCACCTTAGCACCGTGACCCTAAGCATCACCACTGCCTTGGCGCTCCCTAGCCAACCCAGCCCCTCACTGTCCCCACTATCCCCTCGGGCTCCTCAACTCAGACACATGAGACCCTCAAAAATGGAACTGAATCATTTCTTCCCCAAGCCTGCCCTACAGTTCATCTCTCGGACCTATATACTGCCGTCCAAAATCCAATGTCACTCAAGTCCCCTCACTCCAGCCCCTCACATATCAGGCCTCTGCAGGATTCTAGAGTCCCCCTCTCCAACCCATCTGTGTCTCTCCTCCTCTCTCTAGCTACTTCTCCCCTAACCGGTCCCTCCACCCTCCAACTCAAAACCATTTTCCCCCACGTTTGCACTGATAACTGTATACATTTATACCATATAGTTTCCTAATGCAAAATTACACACCACAGCCAGGGACAGGGTGGGACTCAGCTGGACCATTAAAACAAACTTTCTAATTCACATGTGGCCATGTTACTGCTCTGTTTTCAATTCCTTCCATGGTGTCCAACTCCTCTGCCATTCGTTGGGCCATGACGTCAGGATGCCAAAAATAAGGCCCCACGTCTCTGGATTCTGCCCACAGACTCCCTCTTTTTTTTTTTTTTTTTTTTTTTTTTAAGACAGGTTCTCTGTTACCCAGGCTGGAGTGCAATGTTGCAATCATAGTTCACTGTGGCCTCAAACTCCCGGGCTCCCATGATCCTCCCCCGCCTCAGCCTCAAGTGGCTGGGATTACAGTTGTAAGCCATCATGCTTAATTTTTTAAACTTTTTTGCAGAGAAGGGGACTCCCTATGTTTCCCAGGCTGGTCTCAAACTGCTGGGCTCAAGCCATCCTCCCACCCTGGCCTCCCAAACCACTGAGATTACAAGCATGAGCCACCGTGCCCAGCCCATACGCCCTGTGCTTGACCCCCACCACATGTACTGTCAAGAACACAGCAAGCTGGTTCATCCCCAAGCCTTCCTTCATACAGATCCTTCTGTTCACAGTGTTCCTTCAGCTCCTTCCCTGTCTGTGTGGACCTCAGCGTCATCCTTCAGGGAAAGGCTTAAGAATGGCCTCCGCCCTGCAGCTTCCTGTGAGTCGTGTGTGAAGCCAGTGGGGGGTCCACGCCCTCTGCCGTGCCCTGGCTCGGTTCTAATAGCGTCTCTGCTCCTTTGTTCTATTTTTCTGGTGTACATGAGGGACGGTACTTTTCTTTGAAGTACATTCTATTATGTTCTGTTATTGTATCCATTTAAAATAAGGAAACTGGGCAGAGTTTTTTTTGTTTGTTTTTTTGGTTGTTTTTTTTTTTTTGGAGACGGAGTCTTGCTCTGTTATCCAGGCTGGAGTGCAGTGGCACGATCTTGGCTCACTGCAACCTCTGCCTCCCGGTTCAAGCAATTCTCCTGTCTCAGCCTTCCGAGTAGCTGGGATTACAGGCATCTGGTACCAAGCCCAGCTAATTTTTGTATTTTTAGTAGAGATGGGGTTTCACCATGTTGGCCAGGCTGGCCTCAAACTCCTGACCTCAGGTGATCCACTGGCCTCGACCTCCCAAAGTGCTGGGATTACAGGTCTGGCCAGAGTTTTCTTAACAGAAGAAAAACAGAAGAATTTTGGCCACTTCTTTTAAGGAACTTATAACTGGAGATTTGGGTTAGATGCATTTCCCAAAAAAACACAGAAAGTCGTATTTTTCTTATATTTTCCTTAAGATATTTTACTTACATTAAAAAATCACGTACAACCAATTTTCAAAAACTCTGCTCTCCTCAGGTAATCACGACTGATGCTAAACTACAGCTAATCGAACCTATCACTGGCAGAGAACAAACAAGCATTTAAACTTCAGCACCCTTACAGAAACCATGTCCATGCAGGGCTTTAGCGAATGGGTGAGCTAGACAGCAATTTGTATGTCTATAAACATATACATGTATCATAGTGTAGGCAAACTACTCATAATCTAGATCTTAAAAAAGAGTCTACAGCTGGGAGCAGTGGCTCACGTCTGTAATCCCAGCACTTTGGGAGGCCAAGGCAGGCAGATCACTTGAGGTCAGGAGTTCGAGACCAGGCTGGCCAACATGGTGAAATCCCGTCTCTACTAAAAATACAAAAATTAGCAGGGCGTGGTGGCGAGTGCCTGCAATCTCAGCTACTGGGGAGGCTGAGGCAAGAGAATCACTCGAACGTGAGAGACAGAAGTGGCAGTGAGCTGAGATGGTGCCACTGCACTCTAGCCTGGGCAACAAGAGCGAAACTCTGTCTCAAAAAATAATAATAAATAAATAAATATGCAAATAAACAAATAAACAGTCTAATGCATCAACTTCATCTTCATTGTTCTTAAATTTTTATAAGGAAAATGTCAAACATACACAAAAGCAGAGTGTAGAATAATTAACAATAGGAATAGCATAATGAACCCCACACAGCTAAGAATTATCATGAAGCAGCCAACCTTCTGTCTGTCTCTCTCACTCTGATTTGAGTGAGATTTGAAAACAAGTCCCTCACATGAGACCATCTCATAAGACCACAGCCGCTACTGACCTCCTCGAGGGCTGCAAATCAACCTGGAGCATGCTGCACACAGATGGCAGCACCAACATCTACCCAGACCCCGCAAAAGCGACAGGCACAAACTATGATGTGTGGTGCCCAAATAAGATGGTTTCAAGGAGCGCTAACCTTTTTTAAAAATAAGAATGAGTTCTCCATGCTTCAAACTCTGTTAAACAGGGAAGGCTCTATTACAAGTAAATAAATTCCAGTGAACAAAATTTCCGTTCCCTTGTTTTTCTTTCTTCTCACAAATAATGTTAACTTTTAGATATAATTTTCTTATTCCTCAAACATTTTCTATCATTATACATCAGTACTTCACCATAAAACTCTGATTTCGGCCGGGCACAGTGGCTCACACCTGTAATCCCAGCACTTTGGGAGGCTGAGGCGGGTGGATCACCTGCCATCAGGAGTTCACATGGCGAAGTCCCATCTCTACTAAAAACACAAAAATTGGCTGGGTGTGGCGGCATGTGCCTGTAATCCCAGGTACTACTCGGCAGGCTGAAGCAGGAGAATCACTTGAACCTGGGAGGCGGAGGTTATAGTGAGCCGAGATGGCGCCAGTGCACTTCAGCCTGGGTGACAAGAGTGAAACTCTGTCTCCAAAAAAAAAATCTAATTTAAAGTTTCTTTTCTGACAGAAATAGGAAGAAAATTTAGACAGAAGCAAGCTTTAGAGGAAAAATTGTTTTTCAACCCCAGTAGAGTCTAGTAAACCTTATTTTAATTGGCAGGTTAAAAGAAATGAACTCTAAAATACTTTCCAGTAAGTTTCACATAATACAGATGAGTAGGGGAAATTCTGATTTGCAAAAATAACCTGAGATTTGAGAAGATGAAAGCTGAATGGGAAATGGGCCTTAAAACACTGATAGAAATAGTTACAAACACCTACCTTGTTGCTGCCTAGACTGTATGATGGAATGAGATCTTGTCGGCTTCCAGACAACTGAAGAAGAAAGAAAGGAGGGTTAGTTCTTTATGCATCAGAGCATAAAAATGTGGTTTAGGCAATGCCAGCCTTTGCCAACCCAGTCAACCGAACATCAAAAATTTGGGTGGCAGCAGAGAGGTTGTCAAGACGAAGGCTGCACACTAGTGGCCTTTGGGACACTACCAACATTGAATTGGTTATGAACAATTTTCAGATGAGAGGTTTCTGTACGATCTGGATATTCAGTTCACACTGAGGTCACAACCGGCTGGACCTGAACAAGAGCTGTCCTGTTGGGTGAGCCCTTCTGTGTGAAAGATACCAGGTTACTGGTTATCTTACCATGGCCTGAGCTTATGATTCCTTTCTCTGGGTATTTGTAGCAACTGTAAATAAACTCACAAACTATTTAAATTATCAGATCCCAAATACTGAATCTCTGCATATATCAGTGTATTTTAATATATCATTTTCTGGAGAAATGAGACGTTATCTGCCTTGAGTTAAAGTGATCTTCCTAAATGTCTGAGATGGTTGGTGGCGTCCAGTGTGAAACTCCTCCTATCGCTCTCCCTTCTCTCTCAGACGCTAAGGCCAATGTCAGCTGCCCTTTCTCACAGCGCTTGTGCTGTAACTTCTCTCTGTGTGAAGTTAGGATGAAAGTGTCATTTTTCATATCCACATCTTCATCAAAAATGAGGAAAAGAGTAATAAATCAAGGGGCCAAGAGCCTATTTCTTTGTGAAGGATTATTCCCACGTTCAATATGCACATAAATTATATCTAGGTTTTTAAAAACAATAATAAACTGAAGCCATTGTTATGAAACAACCCCATGTATCTGACGCATGGACACCACCCTGGCTGTCTTGTGAACAACTAGTTTCTGAACCTAGTCCAGACTCCTCCTCAACTTAAAAATAATTTGAGCCAAGAAAATGGCATTGGCTTGCGATGGGCCCTTGGCTAGTTCTGGTTTAGTTCAACAAACATTCACTGAACACCTCAGTCTATGCTAGGCAGTGGTGATGGGAAGATAAGAAACAACTGAAAGGTACTTAACTGCTACTTCTCCTACAATATTAATAGGAATGGGGCAGAGGTGCACAGACCCAATGGGGTAGAGACCAGGGGCCCTGACATCAGTCCTGGCAAGGGAAGGGTTTCAGAGATGGGGTTTGACAGGTGGAAAAGAGTTACCCAAGAAAAGAGGAGAGGAGAGAAGTCCCAGGCACAGCACAGAGCTTGGTTCCACACACTCACTCTGTTCACATTTGGAGAACTGATACTCCTCCTGCTCAACTTCCCTTTTCCTGTTAACTGTTCCTTCACTGCAACTTCCTGCGAATCAGAAAACATACAGAGGAAAAAGACATGTAAGAGACACACTGCAAAAGCAACACCATGTACAGCAGACTTGCATCCCCCATCTATACAGACATCCCTAGCTATTTAAACAATGCTGTTATGTGATTATTACGTACTGCATGCCTGTATCAAAACAGTACATGTGCTCCAAAAATACATACATCTACTATATACCCATAAACAGTTTTTTAAAATTAAATAAAGGCTGTTACTTCATAAGACAGAATGATCCAATTATAATCACTCTGGATTATTCAAAGTTCCTAAGAGTGAACTCTTCAAATGTTAGGTGCAACAACACTGTGAATTACAGAGTCCAACACAGACTCAGCCTGCATCAGGGCCTCTGCTGCCTGCCCTATTCACGCGGTTGGCTAACCTGGCGCAGACGATCTAAAGTCAGGAGGTTTTCTACAGCCAGCACGCTCCTGAGGTACTTTTCAATATAAGCCTCCGAGTCAGCAGAAGCTGGATTTTCAACATTGGCTGCCATTCTTGCTAATGCTTCCCGTTCCTCCACTCCCTGGGCATCCTGAGGAGTAGAAAGTTGCACATTATAAAAGCTTCTTGATTTACACACATACACGCGTGCACACACACATACACACACATGCACACACACACACAACGTATTCCAAAGCTCCATTTTAAAGTCAGCTTTGGAAGGCCAATGCATTTTTCCAAGGACATAATGAAAAAGTGATCAGGTGGCTAAGTCCACCTGAAAGGCCGGTTAAGTTAAACACAGCACAGCTGAAACACGGCGCATTCTCAACAAAACTGTTCTCTACTACATTCCCACTGCAAAAAACCCATGACTGGTTAGAAAGGATTTTGTCGACTAGCCAGAAATGTAACCACCATAAAAACAATATTTCAGGAACATTACCCCCCGCCCTGGAACTCCTGAGGGACAGAGAAAGGGAAGAGGGGCTGGGGTGACTGCTACACAGGGTGACAATCAAACTGCCTCCCAGGGAGGAGGCCCGGTATGGAGAAAATAGTGGACATAGGGTTTCAGCGCCTGCCACCACGCAGCCCAGGGTAGCTAACATATTCAGAACATTGCAGCTTCTAGAACTGGTTCAATCTTCTGCTCGAGTGGCAGAGGCCAAAGGCCTGGAGCCAGCCAAGGAGAGGTTGTCTAGGTAAGTTCTTCTACACTGAGCTTTCTGGTACAGCCCGTCCCCAATCCTGGGACATGAGCTGGCTGCGAATACAAATGGGAGATGCACAGTCAGAAAGAAGCTTTATTAATGTATTTAGTTATTTCAAGCAAAGTGGGCTCTTAACAAATTACTGTTCTCAGAGAAAATCAGATACTTTATTCACTTGTAAATTTCTTATAATGATGCCCAAACTACAAAATGTATATCCATATACCACTGCACCTTAAATGCCATCAACTGTAAGACAAAAGATTTTATACATGATTGAGGGGGAAAAAACTCTGTTAATTTTAACATACCATCAATTACAACACATTCTACTTCAAAGATACTTTAAACAATTTAAGTGAGTCCTAGAACAGATAAAATATGGGAGGATTTGTAAGATGGCTTAAGTTCACAAAAACTTTTTTGTCTTGTACAGTAATTCACTTAAGCCTCATAATAACCATGAAAAGAAGGAATCATCCTCATTTCCTAGATGACAAGAGGAAGACCACACAATTTGCAAGAGTCAAGACTAGAACTTAGGTCTCCCGTCTCCTGGTAGGATATTCTTTTCACCCCAACACAGAATACTTTCAGTGTCTGAAGGGAACAGACATTATCCTCATTTTATAAGGAGAAAGAAACTGTCTCTGGCCTGGGCTACTTCTTTTGGCCATGATGCCCTATTGGCTTCTGTGATACAGAACCCAAGGAACTTTTGGGGCTTTTTCATGATGAAACTTGCCTATTATGGGATCTTTTTGTTTTGTTTTTGGGTCTAGTCTTTACACAATCAGTTTTATGTTTCATTTTGCCTCTATCATCAGGATTTGATAATGTGGAAACAACGTTTGCCAGCTTGGATGTTTAGCTAACTAACAGCACAATTACATGAGGTTATGTTTATCTTCAAGCTGATCCCCCCCATATTTCTTTCCTTTTAAACCCTGTCCTCTGGAGAATAAAAGCACTTTTAAGAGGCATAAGAAACTAAGTGGAAGAGAAGGAAAAGGGAGGGGAAATGGAGAGAGAAAAGAAATGAAAACAGTTTCCTATAGCCATCACTGTTTCTCAACTGCATTCAAGCAATTTACAGAGACAAGATCTGACACAACTGGAAGATACAGAAAATGTTTAGATACATAAACAGTAAGTCTCTAGCTAGACATAGATGTATATTTGTTTTAAATCTTACAAACAAGAGTGAATGAAGCACACAGAGCAATCTATTACAGACCCAAGACCGTGCAACAACTAACTCTGCAAACAGGCTTAATTTTTAAATATTCTGCAAACTCCAAATTAAATAATTAGATGGTTAATATTTGCTATGCAAGCCTAACACTTTAAAGATCCAGGAAAGAACAAGTTACTATCCAACATGATTTGAGAGGCAAAAGCATCCTGCAACACAAGATATCTAAAAGAAAGCCTAAGTACTGTGTAATATTTTTCTTTTCCAAAAGCTGATCTCTGGCAGGGCGTGGTGGCTCACGCCTGTAATCTCAGCACTTTGGGAGGCCAAGACGGGCGGATCAGGAGGTCAGGAGATTGAGAACATCCTGGCCAACATGGTGAAACCCTGTCCCTACTAAAAATACAAAAATTAGCTGGGCATGGTGGCACATGCCTGTAATCCCAGCTACTCGGAAGGCTGAGGCAGGAGAATCACTTGAACCCGGGAGTTGGAGGTTGCAGTGAGCCAAGATCATGCCACTGCACTCCACCCTGGTGACAGAGCAAGACTCAGTCTCAATATAAAGAAAAAAAAAAAAAGCTGATCTCTGTATTAAAATATACACTGTTCACCTATTGTTCAAATACTCAACAGTGTCGATGGGCAAATCCTAAGCCCTGAAATGACAGGAACTGGTGCTGGTGTTGATGGCATGGTGAGGAAGGGCATCCTCTGATGTCTCACATCCCCCACTTCTCCAATCCCGAGGAAGTGAAACCTCCACCACCTTGCCCACACCCCCTCTTTGAGGGTGAGGGTGGGAGAAGGAATTTTCTCTTTTCAGAGTCCTTCACTTAAGACCCTCACTTCTCCTGGCCCTGCAAGGGATGCCCCATTTCCCAGCTGTGCTGGTATCTGGGTGAATGAATACACGTCTAATTCAGGAATTACCTATCAGGAAGTATGGATAAGCAACATCTTCCATCAAGTTTGTACCAAGGATAAATTTAAGCTCTGCTTCTCTGAATCCTCTGAATATCTCAATTAGTTCAGAAAGAGAAATACTAATAGTACTAATAAAATAATCGTAGTAACAACAATCGTAGCAATAACATTTTCTCTAGCACATGCACAACCGTTGGTACAAACTGTCTCATTTGACCCTTAAAAATACTTTGTGCAAAGGTATTACTAACCCCATTTGACAAGAAAAAAAAATACGGGCTCAGAGTAATTTACGCAAGTTCATTTTGCTAGTAAGTGACAGAAACAAGATTTCTGTTTGACTTCAGGATCCAACTGGAATCTCTATGCTATATTGCCTCCCTTCCTGGGTACAATATGTTTCTCTTCTGTCATCTTCTGTGTAAAAAGGTGTTGATTTGCTTTTCAAAAGAAAGTTCTTCAACAAAATACTAAAACTGGAACTTTTTTTTTTTTTCAGACGGAGTCTCGCTCTGTCTCCCAGGCTGGAGTGCAGTGGCCGGATCTCAGCTCACTGCAAGCTCCGCCTCCCGGGTTCACGCCATTCTCCTGCCTCAGCCTCCCAGGTAGCTGGGACTACAGGCGCCCGCCACCTCGCCCGGCTAGTTTTTTGTATTTTTTAGTAGAGATGGGGTTTCACCATGTTAGCCAGGATGGTGTCGATCTCCTGACCTCGTGATCCGCCCGTTTTGGCCTCCCAAAGTGCTGGGATTACAGGCTTGAGCCACCGCGCCTGGCTAAAACTGGAACTTTTAAAGCCACAAGTACGTTGTACTATGAATTGATATTAGAAAATCGTTCTAAAAATCTACAGCTTCCCTAAACATACACTTTCACTTCATATGTATGTCTTGGGTAGGTCACTTTTCAGGGAGTTGGCTCTTTTTTTAAGTGTTTATTTTTAGTAAATTCAAATTGTATATCCTTCACCTCTGGAATATTGGAGACAATTTCAAAAGTCACTCCACAGCCAGGAATAGAACTTCGATGAGACATCTTTTTTAGGAGACTCTGTGCAAAACCCTAGAGAAAAACAAAATAGAAGATATGGTTTCCCACCTAAAAAACTGAGTTTACATTATTAACAAAAGACAGCATAGAAAATACCGGTTCATTCTAACCAAAAGAAAACAGGTCATGTTTCCAACATAAGCAAGTGAAATCACCAAGTACCGTTTCCTCAACGTCGTCCTATGGTACGAAACCAACTTATTAGATGCCCACCGTGTGTGAAGGGTCCCACACCCAACACAGGAAAAGTACAGACCTTCAAGTCTGTAAACTGGCAGTAGGCATCCAGAAGAACGGTGCTTAAATGCTACAGAAATATAAGCTTGTTGACTTCCACACAATAAAATGACCTTCTAACTAAGATGGAAGCAAGGACTGGTGAGGCTTACACATTTTTTTCTCCCCAGCACGATGGACATCTCATACCATGAATATTGACAAGTCCAGGCATTAAATTCTTGACCAAAGCAAGATCGTTATGAGGAATGATTTAAGAGTGCACGGTCATTGTTTATGCTGACTGCGCTCTTTGCACAGTTAGGAATTGAACTGTTGAATTAATGCATAGATGACTCATTTCAAGATGCTGTTAAGACTGAACACCCTGCAGAGGTTGAAGAGAGCAGGGATGAGAGCAGAATACCATCAGGGAACAAAGGTAAAGGGGAGAGAACATGAAATGGGCACCGAGCTTTCTACCCACGCAAAAGGAACAGCAGAAACATGTGAAGCCCCCAGGAAAAGAGCAAAGCCAAGCTATTTGGTCTTAGACATACACCATTTCAGAAACCTACCTAATGATAATTTCATATTCAATGATCTTTAAATTTTTAAAAGAATATAGTATCTCAGAATGCAGGGAGACAATTTATGTCATTACTTCTCTCCCTTGACTTTAGCCTTGCAGTGCTGAGCCAAGGCTAATTACGCAAGTCAAGGTATAGAGATCGCTGTCCCTAGGGGTGGTGAAGGGAGATGTCGATGCTACTATTATCCGACCTTTTCGTTTTCCATTTGTATGGAATTCGTGAAGCTGACGTGTGTGTATTAGGGTCATGTGGAAGGTCCTATTCTTGTTATAAAGAAGAAGAGAGCCTTCCACATGACCATTCTTAGGAATGAAATATCTGAAATTGAGAGAGAAAATGGCATGCCTTAAAAATACTTCCACATCATTTCAACCGGGGGAAAAAAAAAAGGTCCTATTCTTGTTATAAAGAAGAAGAGAGCCTTCCACATGACCGTTCTTAGGAATGAAATATCTGAAATTGAGAGAGAAAATGGCATGCCTTAAAAATACTTCCACATCATTTCAACCGGGGGAAAAA